TCACCGTGACGGAACTTTTGTGCTTTTGTCTCGGTCAGTTTGTATGTTGGCTTGTTGGAGCATTATGGTTTGCCCTGGAGTTTTCAAACATACGACGAGCTGAGTTTTGATTTTGCCACGCTTCAGATTTTAGCTACATGTCTTATTGTTATGCTGCATGCAGTTATTATGTTAAATTATCGATAAACAATGTTAAGAACAAACAATGGGTTTTAATTTCTAACCTGCATGAAGGATGAACTTCGAAGTAAGGATAAAAAACTGCTTTAACCTTACTGTGTTTTCGTGATATAGCTATATACATAGGTTGTCAATTTACTTTTGTCATTATTGTTTTGTTATCTTTTTGATAGAGTATTTTCGCATGATGTACCTTGTATTTTGAGAAATCTGTAGTTTTTTTGTTAATACATACAATTGAAGGGTTTTTTTCGTACACCGTGTGTCCGGCTATCTCATGGTCGTCTACATTACTGTTATGTCCGTAGCAGAACAACTGTTATAAATTCCCAGTATTTTTTAACTAACATGAGCGTTTTGATTAAAATCCATTGTAAAAAGCACCGTTTTCCAAAGCAGGCGCATTTCCAAGCTGTAATCGTTGGATTTTTAGAATAATTAAAACGTGTCAATATAACTGGCTGTATTATCGAGTATATTACTCTATAAAAATCTCTGAAACAAATACCTGTAATTTTGTTGACATTGTGCAATCCCTATCATTACCAATACGAATGAGGTTTGGAGATTGGAGATTGGACTGTGAAAACCACATTCCAATTTCCACATTTATTGTTGCAGTAAGCAACCCTGCATTTTAGCAACTCGTTATGCAGCACCTTATACGATATAGGCTAGTAGCAGTGGCGCCGTTACGAATTTGGACAAATCTGAAAGCCGATTCTAGAAATCATCGGGGGAGACACTGTATAACAGACGCATAAAAACTTGATCAGATTGCAATATTGCTGTTCGTTGAAATGTTGCAGCATTGAGGTTGAGAAGAGAGCACGAAATTGTTCAGCCCACAATCATTACAACATACAACACCATGTGAAAGCGAAATAGGGAAAGGCAGGCTATGAAACGTCATATTTCGTCGAGATTTATGTTGCTAGTGAATTCTTTTATTCGTGAATAACAAACAAATATAGCAAGTAGGACGTAAACGGCCACTGCACGGGTCATTAAAAAATAACCGGTAACAATAACGTCTCCAATGCATGTGCAACCGTCCATGTGAAATTTATTCACAATTATTTCGCAACATCTTTGATCGCGACAAAATTCGTTGTTATGGGATCAGTCGAAACAAACATTCGAAGGGATATTACAAAAGAAACTTCAAAAGATGATCGTTAATCGAAGAGAATAACTTTGAAACTGATCATTGAAACAGTTGGGTCGAGTGAGTACTATTCTAGCAACAATCTTTGTTTCCAATCATGTATATTATATCCATGCAGTAAGTGGCTCGAGCTAAGTTGGGAATTAATCATTTTTGTACATACAGTACAAATTAATATTTTCCTATCAAAGGATCATCTGCTCAGAATTTTTGCTGTAAAGGAACCACCGCTAGTATGGTACAAAGCTGTGAATTGTCAGGACTTGTTAGACTTCATTTCTCTTTTAACAGCTGTCTACGCTGGTTTTGATATTTTTCTTCGCTGTCATGAAAGTTACTTATATTTTATACATACGGATTTTAATCTTTATTTAAAAATAGGAAATATCAGCATCGTTAGGGAATGAGAATATCTTTTTATATGCGTGCAATATGAAGACTTTAAGCCAATATTAAATTTTGTAATGCGAATGACTGTCGCCTGTGTTTTAATTAGAAGACTGGTATCCGTTGCTGTATTAAATGTCGCTATTCCGGTTTTAATATACGACAATCAGGTTGCAATTTGAGACTTGAGAGCCTCTTAAATGAATCAATAAAAGATAGCCGCTCGATTGCTTCGTTAAGTACCTAAAATATTAAGAAATATAGCCCTTTAAGGTCGAAAAATTGAGAAGTAACAGTTACCATTGAGTTTGGTAGAAATGCCAAGATGTATTATGTGTTGATATTGCTGCGATTTGAAAAGTATTTTCAGTATCACTATAAAATTCATGGTTACTGTATAATAATTAGTATTGAACAAATTTTGTACCTCGGCAAATTTTGTATCTCGCCCACGAATATGCAGTAAGTTAATGCAACATACAATAAATGGCGTATATATTATAATATATATATTATATATATATTATATATATATATATATTATATATATATTATATATATATATATATATACATCTATATAATTATATATATATATATATTATAAATAATTATTAATAATATATTAAATATATAAAATATATTATATATTATAATATATTATATATTATTATATATATATATATATATATATATATATAATCTTGGATTTGTGCGTAGTAAACCAGAGTGCTCGAAATACAATTTTATGATTATTTTTGGTTGATTTGTTTATATATATATATATATATATATATATATATATTTATATATATATATAAATATATATATAAGATATATATATAATATATATATATATAAATATATATATTATATATTATTATATATATATTAAAATATATATATATATATATTTATATATATTTTCACATTAATCATCACTTTGATTGTAACTCAGAAGGGGTTATATATCTAGTAGATTGCAGGAAATGTGGCAAACAATATGTGGGCTGTACTATAACACCTTTCAGATTGAGGTTTAATAACCATAAGAGCTCTTTGAATAGATATGGGGAGGGAAAAAGGAATATTTGCGGTCAACAATTGTATGCACATTTCTATGGGGAAGGTCATTCAGGTTTAAAAGATTTTATGGTTCGAGTTATTGACAATACAAATGCTAATAACCCGACCGAAAGGGAAAGGTTTTGGATAGAAAAAATTCAATGTTATGTGCCATTAGGTTTAAATGAGAGGAAAGATTGTTAAGTGTATGGTTATGCTAATTTTTAGGTAATTAGGCTATATAGGTTTGAAGGACGGTGAACAGATTGTTATTTCGTTTCTGACGAAGGGGCTTGCCCCGAAACGTAAAATAAAGTTATTATTTCATTTTACTTTTTTGTATATTGATGTATATATATATATATATATATAATATATATATTATATATATATATATTATAATATATATATATATATATTTATGTCAATATGTCAATAACAACTTAAGTAACAGTCGTTCCCAACTTGGCCTTGTAGCTCAGACGGTAGAGCATCGTTCTAGAAATGCGAAGGTCGCGGGTTCGATTCCTACCGTGGTCAAGTAGAATTTTCTGCTTGCCCGGTTGGTTATACTTGTGTAGAAAGAACATATAAAACACAGATCACATTATAACCCCACAAGTGAACACATGGCTCAATTAAGAGCAAAAGTATAAATATATCAACATTTGCAGAAGTAACTGCATAACGACACGTAAGGACGAAACTCCGTAATGTCAATAACAACTTAAGTAACAGTCGTTCCAACTTGGCCTTGTAGCTCAGACGGTAGAGCATCGTTCTAGAAATGCAAAGGTCGCGGGTTCGATTCCCACCGTGGTCAAGTAGAATTTTCTGCTTGCACCGGTTGGTTATACTTGCATGTGTAGAAAGATCATATAAAACACAGATCACATATAACCCCACAAGTGAACACATGGCTCAATTAAGAGCAAAAGTATAAATATATCAACATTTGCAGAAGTAACTGCATGCATAACGACACGTAAGGACGAAACTCCGTAATGTCAATAACAACTAAGTAACAGTCGTTCCCAACTTGGCCTTGTAGCTCAGACGGTAGAGCATCGTTCTAGAAATGCGAAGGTCGCGGGTTCGATTCCCACCGGTTGGTTAATTATACTTATGTGGAAAGAACATATAAAACACAGATCACATAATTTTATAACCCCACAAGTGAACACATGGCTCAATTAAGAGCAAAAGTATAAATCGTAGAAGACTTTGTGTTTGATATATATATATATATATATATATATATATATATATATATATATATATATATAATATATATATATATATATATATATATATATATATATATAATATATATATATATTATATTATATTACACTGTAAATTTCGCAGTGTTACGCCAACACGAAACTGGTGTAGGATAACACCGATTAGGTGTTTTGCCAAGTCAAACACCATTGGAGTGTAGCAATACACTTAAAAAGCGTAATTCTACACTATGCTAGCGTTTCTGTAACACTTTCTCGGTGTAAAAACAAACAAACCTAGGTTACACCAAATTTGGTGTTTTTTTACCTAAAAATGGCATACATTTACCTACTGCTCAGGTTATATTACACTGAACGGTTGCGTTAGTATACACCTATTTAGTGTAAGATATGCTTACACTCGATAAGTGTATATCTACACTTTGGTTTTTGTATTAATACACCAAAAAAACGTGAATGTACCGTGATCTGGTGTAAGTAAAAACAAGGTTATTAAACACCGAGAGCGTTGTAAATTTACCGTCTACGGTGAATATTTACCCGATATGAGTTTTCAAATTGCACTTGAAGAGCGTAAACTTACATCTAAATTGTGTACAAAATTCAATGCCTTATAAATTAAGACCGCGACGGAAAATGCTTGATTTGTTGCAAAATAAAAGAGTATATATGGTTGTATAGATACAAAAGAATGGGAATTGACTACATACTAAGAGACCAATAGACCCTGGGTCACAACAATTTGTATACCAGGTACGAAAACGTGTTTTCGTCAAATGTTCCTAAGCAAGCATGCACATGCAGTTTTTTCGTTAAATGTTTCCAGGCAGGCACAGTATCATGAGTCAGACAATTCATTTATTTACTGAATTTCTTTATTATGTTTAATAGTTTCTTTAACACATGTATACTATTGTTCAGCATCAGATAGGTCGTACTTCATTCTTACAAAGTGTTTTGATTCTCTATTTACAACGATGGTATAAAGATCTAGAGGATGATGATCTAGCATCCCAGAAAATAATAAGGGCACAAATTCTTCCAAAACTTCAACCTCATAGCAATGAATGTGCCTGCTAAAAGCAACTGTATTTACTTTCTTGCAAGAAAACATAACATCCATGTTTGGCATAAAAAAAACATTATGTATAAAAAGAAACACAGGAAAAATTAATTGCTGATAGACTATGATCATATTCTTTTTATACTTGTATCCATTGACTTTCACCCAATTCAACCTAGAATGTGAATATAGTTTTCACTTTTCAGTCCAGTTTTAAATAATTTTTACCATATATAAGAACAAACTTGAAGGCTTGGATTTGACAGCTAAGGTGCCAGGAAGCAGCCGAAGGGGAATAATAAATTGGGAACCTCCTGCTGTTGATGGTGAGGACCTACATTCTAACAAAGCCCATGTTCAATGGATGCAGAAGGAGTACCGAAAAAAGCACCCAAACATGGAAGTCGTTAAGCAGAAAATGCAACTGACTTTCTCCTTCAGAAGAAAGTACATAAATGCTGGGAAGTGTTCCCTTAATGAAATTGATGCAAAATACCCTTTTTTATTTGAACATGATCAGGTTAGTATTATATAGTTAGTAATATCTGTGCATAAACATATAATCCGGCACTGGGTAATATAATTGATAAGTTACTTTTAAATTACTCTTATAACTTATATTGATTTTTTATAGTTGCAAGATGAGTATGAAAGATTGGTGTCTGGCAGTAGTGTTAAAGATTTGGTTGTTACAAACTTACGTGAGCTTGCACCTAAGATTTTGAAAGCTGCCAGCAAGAAGAAACTCCCTCAAGTTGAAGAACTGGTTCAAGCTTGCGTACAAAATGAGGATGAACTGGATGAGGAGAACAGATTGACAGATGGTAATCCCATTCATACTCATTTAAATGAATATATTTTCACTATCAAAAGTTAATTATTATGCTGTGTGCGGTTTCAATATATACACCCTATTGTGATTATTCTCCTTCTTTATTAACACAGTCAGAGCAATAATTAAGATTAAATATGTAATTTTTTCTTTGTTCCTAGATGAGAAAGTTGTTGTGGCACTTTGTACCTTGCCACACCTTTTGGAAAGGAAAACAAAAAGTAATCCACATCCAGAAAATTTCCTTTATCAGGTAAGTATAATATACTTTAGTACCTTGTCAATGCTTATCAATGTTATTACACCACCTTTTGGAGAAATGTATTGTCATGATAAGTGTAAGCTAGTGGTCTGTTAAGTGGTCAATCATGAATAGTTTTAATATGAAGACTTTGTTATGATTTTTTAAAATTTTTATTTCAAATGTAGACAGCAGAAAACCCAGAGGTATTGTTAAAGAAAGCTGCCAGCCCCATCAGCCCATTCATCATCTTTGTGGAGGACAGTGATGGTCACATAATGAACAAAATGTTTGTTGCAGGGGAAAAACAAGTTTGTTTGGAAACAGATAACATTTTTTCAGCAGTATCGTCCCTTTTGTTTTTGTATTATGTTTGTAATTTAGAGTACCCGAAACAGTGTTTTAACACGTTCCTTTTTTTACAACGTACTGTTCTAAATATTTTTGACCGGGTAAGAGTGCCAACCAAAGTTTTATTATTCTTAAATGAACTGGAACAGTGAAATATTAGGCATAAGTGCATGTTATATAGCTGGTTTGTAAATTTGTTATGTACAGTATAATATAATGTAATATATTCTGTCATATAGAAATAAATATGTTTTTACCTTACCACTGCACTAGAATTAATTAATTTCGTGGCACCGGGCCATTGTTTAGAAGAGCATTTTTATTCTTTTGGTGTACTTATACACCAGATCGGTGTCTATATTACTGAAAGCATATTTACACTAAATAGGCGTAGAAAACCCTTTGGAAGGGTAAGTTTACCCTCGCGGTGTATTTATACACCAGATCGGTGTCCATATTACTGCAAGCACGTATACACTAAATAGGCGTAGAAAAACCTTTGGAGGGGTAAGTTTACCCTCGCGGTGTATTTATACACTAGGTCGGTGTCCATATTGCTGCAAGCACGTTTACACTAAATAGGCGTAGAAAAACCTTGGGAGGGGTAAGTTTACTCTCGCGGTGTATTTATACACGAAGTTGGTGTTCATATTGCTGCAAGCGTTTTTACGCAAAATAGGTGTAGGAAAACCTATAGAGGTGTTAGTTTACGTTAATGGTGTATATTTACGTCGCCATAGTGTACACATAGCTGCATAAACTTTACCCATGAATAGTGTAAATTAACCCAAAATATAGCGTAAATAAACACCATATTAGTGTTCATATTGCTGCAAGATTTTACACCGATTTCGGTGTTGTGCCAACACTCCGAGATTTACAGTGTATAAGTATTGTTTTGTTGTGGGATGAGATGTATCCTTCCCCCATAAATGAATAAATGAAATAAATAATATGAATAAATAAATGAAAGCCATAGATTGCACAAAATCTTCAACCGAAACACGTTAAAGTTAAGTTATAGTTGTATGCCAAACGTACAGAGCATCATCTCATCCCACAACAAAACAATACTGCGGAACGAAGTTAACAACAACATCACCACAGAAAACCGATGCAATTGCCGCGTGAAAGACGCATGTCCACTTCGAGGCGAGTGTCAAACAAAAGCCGTAGTGTACCAAGCTGCTGTAACCAATGAGGCGACGAAAGAAATTGAAACATACGTTGGTCTTACCGAAAATACTTTTAAAACACGCTATCTCAACCACACCAGCACCTTCCGCAACAAAACTAAGAAAAATGCAACTGAACTGAGCAAACACATTTGGCAATTAAAAGATAATAATACACCATACACCATCAATTGGAAAATAATGAAAAAGTCAAAACCATACTGCAACAAAACCAAACGCTGTAATCGATGCCTTTCCGAAAAATTCATCATTATCTGTCACCCTGAATTAAGCTCTCTTAACAAACGCAACGAACTCGTATCCGCCTGCCGACATCGAAAGAAATTTCTCCTTAGTAACACCCATGTAACATGATCTAATTAATTAATTAATTATGATTCTCCTGTATATAGTCTGTCGTGCTGTTGTAATATTATATTATTTACCTGACGAGTGTGGCAAGCTATAAGCTTGTCATACGAAACAGTCCTGTAGTAAATAAAATTTCGATGAAGTAACCTGCGTTTTCTCATCTTGTGTTATGCCGCTCTGCATTAGCATTGAGCACTCTACCCAGACGATTTTGTATGCGCTAGTTTCTATCATCACGATAGTTTCTATCACTACACCTGTATATATATATATATATATATATATATATATATATATATATATATATACATATATATATATATATATATATATATATATATATATATATATATATATATATATTTCCTTCAGTTAAACCCGTAATTAATTTAGAGGATAAAATCGTTGTGAAATACAGAACATTCTGCCATGCAGATATTCTTTTCCGTTTTTTTGAACGGTGGTGATTGCATGCTCGTGACCTCGGATTTTTTGCAATTTTTGCCTCAATCTTTTTGTGAATTTGTCAGTTTTTAAAAGCAACTATGTGTCATCTTGTTATGATATTATTTACAATTACTGAAAGATAGCACATTTTACCATGTTCAGGGGGCAAAGTTCTCAAAAATTTTTTTCAGAATCTAATTTATTTGCTTCAAAACACTGATAATTCGCGTGGCGTCGGTGAATTGCGACCAGCGTGTGGTAGGGCAATAGTAACATCTTTAAGTTGTTTTTTTGGGAATGTATTCTGTTGTAATTAATTTTGTGGAAACGTCAACAAACCACGCTCACTTGCCTTCTGTAACCCTCATTTCCTGCTAAATTTAACAGAAAATATATATACCTCAATACAGAATATCAGCATTTATCTTTTATCGAAAGTTCCTTCGTTTTATACTAAAAAATAGCCCAAAACAATATGAATTTGATTTCATAGGTGTAGAGTTTTGTTTTCGTCTAATCATTCATAATGCATAATAATTTTCTAGTTAGCAACACCTTCTGTCCTTAGATACATTAAATTACGAATTTGCCAGGCTTTCAATTTCAATAATTAAATAAGACGGGAATTTCCTTCTTGATATATTTTTGCATTAACACGTTATGGTTAATACAGTACGTTGCTATGCTGAAGAGTTGTCCCGCCACGTAAATTTTAAGTTTTTATCATTTTTCAATTATTTTTAAATCTTTTGCGCCATATAATTAACACCAAAATATTAGGGATAACGTAGGGTACTTAGTGGCTGCGTATTCAAAATCCGTATTTCGTAATTGCAATTTTGCAATCATTAAGTCCCGAAAAAGTTTCTCGGGGGAGTCCTTGTTTGCATAAGCGACCGATCGGCTGCCTCATTATAAAGTTTCTCTCGGGTAGCTCCATCCATTGAGCTCCCTTACTCTACGCCCATCAAAGCCGCCATCGGTATAAGTTTGCACGTCTGGATGGACACTTTATCGAAAGAAAAGTTTTATTCCAAATTTTTATTATATAACACCCATGCGTTTATTATTTACCAATTACCACCCATGTGTCAAACTAATTCGATTTATTCCCCTTGCTTTTTTAAAAGAGACTCATAGAAAGATTTATACTTTTACGTGCAGTGACTGTCCAGAAATAAGCTAACAAGAACCGCAGTCAGACCGAGGTCGAACCACAGTGAGACCGATGTTTATCCTCGGTCGAACTCGGTCTGACAGACATTTTAGATGTTTTTTATTCGATGATTGTGTTTTGACCGTATCGAACGTGGCTCTAGCCACGGTCAGATTTTCCCACCTGGAATTTTTCAGTTTCATCTTTTTGGATACGAAACGCAATCTAATATTCACACATTATTTAGAAGTACATATTAATTATTTGAATCACACCAAAATTAGGCAAATATATGTCTAAAGCAAATGATTTTCCAGAGTAATATTTTTCGTAATTGTTGTCATATTATTACCAATTCTTGCTAAAAGTGAGAACAAATTGCCAATTATTATTCCCTGTTTCATAATATGATTGTTCAGTTAACACTGAATCATAAAATTTGCCGAAAGCTTACCGAATTGTGCCGAGTAAGTTTGGAAGCTAGTCGTGCATTCGAAGCTGCGATCACAGCAACTTGTTGACAGGGTCAGCGTGCACATTATTGCGCTATTGTTATTAAATGTAGTAACATTCGGACACCGTGCAGTGTACACGCGTAAAAACGCACAAGTCGTAACAAGTCTGCAGCAGAGTTGTTACAAGTCTGTTCACAAGCTTGCAACAAGATTTATTCGCACCGCTTGCTCCAGCTTGTGGTAACAAGTTTTGGACAAGTTGTTAACAACTTGTAGCAAGTCCGATAGCACTATCAGACTTGTTACAAGATTGTTGATTCAACAAGTTTGTTACAACTTGTTAACAAGTTGTCTCATCTTGTCAACAGCTTGGGACAAGCAGTGCGAACAAATCTTATTACAAGCTTGTGAACAACTTGCTACAAGATATGATATTTTTACAATCACAGGGCAAACTTTTGTCACCTGAGCCACGGTGTGACACGGTGGCCTGTTTTTGATTGCACAATAAGAATGATAAACAATAAAGTTCGATAGTACATAACACGTTAAATATACATATATATATATAAATATACATAACACGTTAAATTGGTCTGTTCGCTGCATCCTGGCTGAATCGAATGCATTTAATACATGAATCCGTCGAAATTTCTCAAAAGCAAATCTAAGCCAGCATATTTCATGGGAGATATCGTTCTTCAGGCTAGAACATGATGGAATTATTACTAAAGAAAGGCTTCGCTCGTTCCCATTATAGAATAGCAACGACAATTTTTGAACAGCTATATCCAAAGAGACAAATACTGAAAATCTTTACTTAATATCCTTGTAAGGTAAGACTCTTAAATCGAATTATGAAACAAATTTGCATTTTACGCTGTAGCCTGTGAACATGCAAATTTCACGTTATGTTGAGTGTGAATGAAATATCGGTAAATATAGCTAACCAATCATTTTGAAAATCGTTTTGTGGTTTTATGAAAGTACAGGGATTTACAATATTGCTTTTATATTAAACGTTCACTGAAGAGTATTGTGCAACCAAAGCTCAGAAATTGTTTGTTTCGGAGTTTAAAATTTGGAACTTTTCCAGGTCCATAGCACCTTCGCCACCGCACCGTACGTAAACGAATTTAAACTAGTATTCGCCTTTCGACTCGGTTTTTTTATGCCTGTTTAACTTGTCCCACGATTTCGACTTCTTCTATATCTTTCCCATGACTTCTTGGGCCGACCCCTTTTCCTCTTTTCTCCAGGATTTTTTATCACTCTAAGGCTCGGCGTGGTTGAGAAAAAAACAGATTTCACATTGAGAGTTGTTTCTCAGTTTTGTCAATAAGGAAGTATATCGCAATCTCTAAACAGGCCGTATAATGTAGAACATAGCTATAGGTTGCGCTTTTCTACATTTAGCCACTACATCCTCATCCGAAGTTTTGAAGTTCTGAACCATTGGTGGCGATGCTTCCTAGATAGTCGAAGGACTCAAATCGTTCTAATCCTTGGGCTTGATACATGATGTGTCTTATGTGGTAGTAAAGGAGTTTTTTTGTCTTCGTTCTGAAGCTTCGTTCTGAACGGATTGAATTTTCTGGAGTGAAAAGGCCACCTTTTCACTGAGTAATACTAGGTCATCAGCAAACTCTCGATCTTCTAAGACCTTGGTTATACGTGGCATTTTTCGCGCCTCGAATGCAATTCAAACAATAGATAATGAGATGATAAACCTCATTAAGATTCATTACCATCTCATTATCTATTGCTCGAATTGCATTCGACGCGACCAAAATTCGACGTATAACCTTGGCCTAACTTCTATATGCATGGTGAACTGTATTCCTGTCTTATTATCAGCGTCTGCTCGTCTAGTCACTGAGACTAGTGCTATTACAGAGAGCAGAGGTAAAGTAAAATCTCATTTCCAACTATTTCGATCGTATACGTGTCATGCTATGCCAGTGGAATTACATATTGAAATTAGCCTGAAAATCGCCAGCTTATAGACCAATTGCGAAACTTAGTAACTGCACCTTCGCACAAAATGGAAACGAGGCCTATTGTGCAGAAAACAATATTTCTTGAGGTACCAAGATTTTCGCCGTTTTATATCCCAATATTCGCCTTTGGTTTACATATATTTCGATACCTTTAAGTTTGGTTTAATCGTTGTTATCATAGTTGTCAGGTTAGGGAGTTTTACTTTTCAACTGAGCTGTTTTTGTGGTGTTTTCATTAATCTTTTCGGCTGCTTTCGTCTGGGAAATGTGGAGAAG